CCAGGAGCAGGATCTCGGCAGATACACTTGTTTCTACTGTCAGCAGCGGTTCTGTGACAGACTGAAGACAAAAAGGTCACAATCACACGAAAAAAAAATTGTTCCGGCAGTCCCCATTGAAAAGAACAAAATTCACACAAATCTGAAGAACTTGTTTCAGGGAGCCAGAGAGACTACTGAGAGATGTCATGAAAGAAACGTTCACCCTAACTCGAATTCTGAAATACATGGTGCAGTGAACAAACACAGCATGAAACTGGGACGACTCCCGTTAAACTCCTGGCTGCAACACGTGTCCCACTGCATGGTGTAAGACAGGACATTTTCCTCATAGACGAAATGAAGATAAGAACTTGCCTGTCTCTAAGAAACCTGACAACGTACTTGACGTCCACAAAGAACTGTGTGATACTAAAAGGAAAAAAATGCCGCAGAAGCCCAAAGTACAGTTGAAGTGGATGCAAAAGTACCTCCCTCCGATTCCATGGTTCACTTTCTCCGCTCTAGAAGGACTAAACTTAACTTGACATCGAGCTTCTCCCATTTCCATGATCCAGTAACGCACCCTTTGTTTCCTGCACTATTCTTCTCAAGATTTCAAAACACTATGATTTAACTAAACCTCACACTATGTCAGCAATACCAGTGCCATCCTTGTTTCCCACACAAGAGATACAGTTTTAGGGCAGATGCTGAACACCTTACCTTGCACACTAGGAAAGGGTGGCACACAGGAGGAAAGCAAAACTATTTGATTAAAGCAGACCAGCAATCCAAAGACTGGACTAGACTTCAAATTCAGGAGCTTCCACCCTCCAGGCTCACCTGCAGTTTTGCTCATATTCACTCACTCGTCAAGAACAGGCACAACATTTTAGTATAGTCCCATGTTTTACAGAATTACTCTCCGGGCTTTTCTTCACTGCCAAAAAAACCTAGTTTGGTCTCTGTGTAACTAGCATATTTCAGCTCTTCCAAGGCAGAGACACCCAAGTTTTACCACAAAATAAAATTATGTTGTCAACCATCTACTGTCAAATGGGATTCACGTGATGTTAAGATGGTCTAAACCACACTGCCTTCACTGTGGTTTTTTTTATGTTTGGAGAGGTGACACATACTGGCTACCTCAACAGTAAAATAATGCAGTTTTATTAGAACTGAAGACAAGTTTTGAGGCTCAGAGAAAAGCAATCCTATTCACTGAGTTCAGGGAAAGATAAAACTTTCATAAAGGTCCTTCAGTGACTTTTTGTCCTCCAATTCTATTCATTACTTTTACACAATATACTACAAAGTATCTCAAGATTTTTTTTTCTATCCACAAAGTAAGCAAAAAATATAGATCAAAATAAGTATTTACCACAAGAGGGTGCCAGAAACTCAAATATACCACAGCTCTGCCGGTTCCAGACATAAGCACCATCACCAGAGCCCAGCCAGATCTCACAGCTAGGCAGTGATTCTCTAGAGAGGCCCTTAGTCTCTTCTTGTGCGGTCATCATCATTTTCACTACTTCGCTATATATGTGCAAAATTTTCAGCCACTAAGAATTCACTTGACATAACCACCGCAAGTATCAGCTTCAACACCGTACTGGAAGTCGCACTGCCTGGTCTGTCTGCAGTGGATACAATGCTATGCAATACCAAGAAAAGGGCAATTCTGTCTTCAACCTTGTCACTGGCTTCCCATTCTTCTATGCATAGTGTACCTGCTTTCCAGTCTTTTACAGTTGGACGAAAGAAAAATAATGAACAGTCTCAAGATCCATCCACTCCTCCAAAAATATGGAAAATGTGAAAATCAACACAAGAATGGTTTGCATGATTTATTAATAAGTTAACTGAACTTGTTTAGGTTGTGGATACACTTATTTGGTGCATATGCTCTATTTTATTTCTTCAGTCAAATCCCAGGACTAACACAGGTATCTTACTATGGGTAATACTCTAAAATATTGGGCCCTGATTCATAGCACACTGAAGTCAAACAAAAGATTCTCACCAAAGTCAGTTAGCACAGGGTCAGAACTGCTCAGAAAAGGCAGAGGAATTCAAAAAAGTATCTATAGCTGTTAACTATTATTTCCATGGAATTGTCCCATCAAGCCACTTGCGTTTAATGTTGAGTTTTCTAAGAATATATGTATTTTGCTCTTCTGTAGCGTGTTTCAGGGAAAATTAAAAGCATTTTAACTACCTACACTGACTTTGCAAAGAGAAAAACTACAGATATATGGTGCAAACAGTACAGGCACAAAGGCACAAAGAAAGAAGCAAACCACCACAGAATTCACAACCTCAGCAGATCCCCAGAGCATCCAAAGTACTGGGGCTTGTTATGTTCTGCCCTAAGGTGCTGCACTAGCGTTTATGGGCTGTCATGCACACAAAATTTGGCCAACCTGGGAAACTGCCCAAAGAATGATTTGAAAGGAAGCCTAAGTTACTCTGAGAAAACATGTTTTATATTGACAAGTAAGAGTCTTGATCCTGAAGACAAATACTCAAAAATTCTGACGTGTGCTTGTACATAACCTGATGACATACACATGCTGAGCTAGATAACTTATGGTACTTTGACTGCATTGTCCAAACCTACCGACACTTTAAATGAGATCTGCATTTTCCTTCCAGCAAGATTTCCAAGTACAAGGCGTAGTGTAACAGCGAAAGAACTAGTCTTACAAAGTCGCGGACAGTAACCCTCCAGAACATGTTAGCTCCGAGACAAGTCAGGGAAGATTCCCATCCTTGCCACACGATGGCTGTTCAGCAGCCTGTATTTAATGAAAACAATGGACATCACAGTCCAGAGACCATTTATCTTCACCATAAAAAGCATATTTTAAGGCAGAGAGCCCAAAGGCTTAACACTCAAGAGCTACAGGCAAGCGGGAAGGAAAATGTACCTATGTATTGACTAACAGTGCAACTAGGGAATTCAGTCTCTGAATTTGAGCAACAAATTTGAGCAACAAATCGGGCATCTTTCAACATATTTTAAATTTGCTTTAACTACTTCCTTCCACAAAGAAAAAATGGTAGCTAGATGGTAGACTCAATCCAAAGTGGGTATAATGAAGCTTTAGAAAGAAAACTAGTAAGATTTGGGCCTCAGTACTCTGCTTGCTTCCCCACTAAACCACATGTAAGAACATCACAAAGTGTAAAAAATGTTGGAACACCAATGCATTCTGTTCACCTTATCAACTCTCCTTTCTCAGTCCCTTACACTAAATCTATATGTAGTCTGTTTTTAGCACAGTGAGCCTTCCAGCGTTATAAAACAATCAAAAGAATCCCACATACAGAATCCACCCTGCCTATCCTACCTCAACGGCTGCACTACCGTTTCGGTACCAATTCAAATTCAGCCACTGCCTTGAACAATCTCACGCCTTTCACGACTCACGCAGACCAGCTACAGACTGACTTCCAGGATTCTCAGCTTCTGCACGTAATTGTACAGATAATTAGGTATCCTTTTGTGTCCCAAACTAAGCAGCTTGGAAAAATTTAGACATGTTTATCTAAACCAACAACACAATCGACAATTAATGCTAAAGAATTTCCATTTCTCTCACACTACTGAGATTTACGATTAGATGGAATGCTGGAGGAATGGGTTGCTGGCTGGCTGAGCCAACGACTCACCAAACATACTGCCAAAGTATTCAGCATCAAAGAAATACTGATAGCCAAGAAAAATCGGAAATTGGCTATTCTGTTCACAGGCCATACCACCATCCTGCTCTTCCCTTTCTTTTACTGCAAGGAATAGTAACAGAGATCGGATCTTTTCTTCTGCTTATTTTTCAGTAAAGTCATTACTACAGGCTCAAGGAACACAATTTCTAAACAAATCAAAATATTTTAAAATCTCTAGTAGAAACCTTTATTGCCTTTAGAATATTATTCCATGCAAATGATTTCATTTGAGCTGCAATACTCCCCCCTCCCCACAATGCCTGAGGCAATGTTAATTCATGAGAACGAGAAAATTAAACTAAGAAAAACAGATAATAAGCCAAAAGATATCTGACACTCCCTTTTCAGCATCTAAACTAACTAGATTTGTAATAGAAAACACGTTAGGACCCAAATGCAAACATGTTAAGCAAGACAGTGCTACTACTCATAGCCCTATGTTGAATGCTTGGCATAAATAAACAGACATCAACAGTGGTAGAAGGTAAATATTTTTTTTAATTCTCTAAATATTTATCAAGTAGTGGGGACAACTTTGTACACGCATTGATAACAGTGTCAAAACTGCAAGGGTTGCATAAGCGGAGTGGCATTTACATTCTGGTAGAGTAATAAAGATATTTTCATTGTTTTGCTTCATTCCAAAATTGTCCCCTTAAGAAATCATCTGCTGTGCTATACGTCCTTCAGTTACACCCCTTTTTCCAGCCAAACTGCAGGATTCTCTCAAATCCCATCCAAGCCAACAGAATCTGAGCACACCGAATATTTCTCAGCATGAGGAATGTGCAGCCAGTGTAAGGCACACATGACGGTGAAGACGGGGATATCGGTCATCGACAGGCACCGACAGCCTTGGACAGACAGAACAACCCTTCTGTCGCCACTTAAGCACACGATGGGGGGAAGGAGGAAAGCCAACACACAAGCAGGGCTGCTCCTGGTGCGTGTGTGGTGGGGGTAAATACTGGTGTGGCTACCCTCCAGCTGAACCTCACACACCTGCAGCAAGGCAGGCCACCAGAGCTGCCTCTTAAACTCTGCCACTAACGAAGTCACAACAGGCCAGGAGCCAAAAGGGGTCCAACTGATTTGCAATTGCCTGAGAATCCAGCATTTTTGCATACTATGTGACAGAATCCAGCAGAGGAGCAGCTAATTGACCACGTTCACCCACAGTGGCTTCAAAGACCCTCCCTCCTTGGAGGAGCTGACACCAAATAGCCTCTCTGTGGTGAAAAGTTAACTTTGCAGCCTGGGTATTCTGCCTTACCTCAAATTCTTCCTGATTTAGAAAGCAGCACAGCAATAACTCCACTATGTTCTTTACAGCCAATGCCTGAAAAACTCCATGTTACACATAAGCTAAGAGTTACCGTTCCCATTTTTCACTACAGAGACAGTGACAGAGTGACTTTCTTCTTGTCCTTCATTTTAAAACCCAGGGGTGCTCTGGCTACATTTATGAGGCCCATTAAAAAGCAAGACTTTTCTATTTCCAAACATCCAGCCTTCTTCTGAGGTAAAGCAACACTAAATAAATGTTAAAAAAAGGAGTGCAATGGGAGGATACTATACCCAAACTCAGGAGAACCTGAATGTTTCTCAGGCAACCACATTTGCCAAGTAACCAGCTTGCTTTCTGAGAAACCAACAGCCAACTGCCTTGTAGGTTGCCCAAGGGGCTTATGGATTAGTCACAGGTTGTTTCGGGTTTCCTCATTCTGAAAGGATTCACCTGAAGCATGAGGTAGGGACTGTAATGCCTGCACCTCCAGCTACGACTGATGAAAGCACCTGGCTGATGCAAAACTGCCCAGCAAGCCTACTGTGAGTTTGGTAACTGGGCCTTCCACAGCCTAGGAGGAGATTTGTGCTGGTTAGTCAGTGTGAATTTTACGTAACGTATTTATATTTCAGTTTAGTTCAACAATGTTCCCCTACAAACTCAGCCTCCTCTGTCCTAAATAAAAAGGATCAACAGAGAGGTTCACAGCAACTTAGTCAAATCTGGACAGATTTGAATGATTGCACACAACAGCGCGTCAGTGTTAGACTTTGATCTATTTTATTGCCTGTTGCTGAAACAGCCAGACCGTTCATCTCCCGCTGGCTGCCGGAGGGCCCTCTGCGGCCACCGAAAGGATTCTGCAGAATTCCATTGGTATCACATACTGAGAAGTCTGTCCGATACTGGTGAGATGAGAGAGCTACCAGGAGGTCACCAAATTTGAGGCAGGTACAGTTTGCAACCAGACACAAGTTAACCTGGCTCATGAGCAAACCAGTGCAAGTGACAAGAAACCGACGCCAAACACATCATACGCCCATTTTCCCCTCTGGCTCCCATTCCCATTTGTTTCAGGTCGCAGCATCTCAAGGTTTTAGTACGTTTCTTGAGCACACGCTCAAGTTAGTGAACCTACAGTCACTTACCCTCCTCACTGTTTTTGCCAATGCTTATACTACGCCTATCACTGCTGCAACCTTTTACGTTCCTGGTTCAAGGATCTTTCTCCTTCACAGTTGCAAGGCAGAAACATTTTGTCTAACTGGTGCTCCGCCTCATTCCCAAGCCCGGCTGACACAGAAACCGCCTCCTGCCTCCCTGGCTGTGCTGTGGCTCCCCCCCAGC